ACTATCTCTTTACTTTAGACTTATTATACCAACAGTCACTATGCTTATAAGGTTACACAGCACTCCCCCCCTCCCCACACACACACGCACACCATCATTAACATCATAATGGGCAGACAGTAATCGAACTATTCTATCTGGAAAAACGCATTTTAGCTTTTATCTAGGTTAGATTATAGTAAAGACATCATAATCACATAGTTCACAAAATGGCCCTTCTGTTGGTTATAAATGTACTATTGACAAGAAAATGTGAGTAAATAAGTAATTTCAGAAGCATAAAGAATTGGGCGAGGCTGCTATGATGGGTTTAATTAACATATTGATATTTCAGAAAAGAAAGAAGGCAGGGGGTTATTTTTAAATTCTGGATTATAATACATATAGTTGGTGTTTTTAATTGGTGGACATTCTGAAACCCATATAAAGAAAGAAAGAAGATCTAAAACAGAGAATTTAGAGCAAAAAAGGCATTATGTGGTACAGAAAAGTGAAAAATTATAATTTATTTCAATATTTTATTTCTAAAATAAAAACTTAAAACCTGTATAATATTAAAGTTTAAATTATAAACTACATTTTGATGCCAAGTTTATTGACACATTGATCAGAAAGTTGTTTAATCAAATTTTGAATGTAAATTTAAAAGGTTTTAACATGTGCACTCTGCTCCATACTTCTGCACACAGGGTTAAGCCTTCCAAGCAATGGGTTGTGGCTAATGATAGGGCAGGTAGGATTTTAGGTTGTACCTACAAAAATATTGAATACAAGTCTAAATAGGCTATAATTTTAATGTATAGTTTAGGTTACATTTGAAGTATTATGTTCAGTCTTCGGCTTCTTACCTTAGGAAGGACATTCAATTGTTAGAAAGGGTTCAGAGGGGAGGCTACTAGGATGATACCTGGGATGGAAAGGTTGTAATATGAGACAGGTTAGGATCTTTGAAATTGCTTTCTCTTGAAAAAAAGAAAAGTTAGAGGGGGTTGGATTGAGGTGTTTAAGTTTGTTCGAATTGGTAGTGTCAATGCATCATCTTTTTTTTCATACTTAATGATGAGTATGGTGGGACTATGGGACACAAATATAGATTTTGTCAGGACAGGAGTCATCTTCAGCTGAAATAGTTTCATTTTTCTAAGAGAGTGGTTGGCCTTTGGAATGGGTTGTCTTTAGATGTGGTGGATGTAGTAAACTTTAAGGGAGGTTAAGGGAAGGCTTGATAAATAATCAGGTGATAAGGGCTGGCTTTGAGTTTGTTTTTTAAATTATAGTAATTTTTGGTTGGGATGGTCTAGATTTTTGTGTTGACACTAAGTATGAAAGTTAAAACAGGAAATGTTATATTACAAAAGTGTGTTTCATGCTTGTTTTTTTTGGGGGGAAAGGAAATCTTTCTTTGTAGAGTTGTGTAATACAAATCTTACTTATTAACTTTTAACCTTTTTTTAGTTGAATATTTCATCTTATGAAACCAAATAAAACCTTTTTTTTCCATTAGAAATGTAGTTTAGAATACAATCTTTTTCATTTTATTGGTTATCATTAAACTTATGGCAGAGTTACTTCAGTGGACAAAACCCGTCACGTGTGTGTATTTTTTACATGCAAAAAAAAGACAAGCTAATAAGAAAAAAAATTTAGGAAAATATATCATTTATGTCATGTTTTGTTCACATTGTAACATTAGTTCATATGCATTACAATTATCTTAGCAAATATAATTATCAGGTAATTGATTTATAGAAAAACATTTTAGAAGAATTATACCAGATAGTCATTTTACAGTATCAATTAAAAATACCATTGGGAACTTATCTGTATGAAACAGAAAACTTAAACTAAGCCATATTCAATGTATGGACAACAACATGTAAATAACAAGGGACCGATTGGTCCTTTAAGGTTGTCCTTATTCACCCACCCTCGAGAAAAGTGAAAAATTTAGCCCTTCTTTTATGTTTCAGAAAATTATCAGTTCCCCTCATTAGCACCTTTAAATTGCTGATCTACATTATTTCCCATGGAAACTCATTCCATAAATCAATTATCCTGTTGGAAAAATAAGATTGTCTAAACTGGATACTAGCCTGTCTTTTGTCCAAACTTAAATTTCTGTCCTCTCATCCAATTATCTTCAGAATATAGCACAGAGAAATCAGAAGGTTTTGTCCTACTGATTACCTCCTTGTATTAAATAATTATGTAAATTTATCAATTATGGTCTCACCATATGAATATTGTTTTGAACAGTATCTTTTCATATTTATGGGTTTTGGAAAAACTGTACCAAAATAACATTATTCAGAAGAGTATCTACTGATTTGTTGAAAGTGTTAACAAAATTATTCCTACAGTAAGTTCAATATCAGCTGCTAGGTAGTCACTCGTGTATTAGTCATATACAGCATTATAATGCAAGCAGTTTAAGCTTGATGCTGACATTTTAAACTACTAGTTATGTAGGGAAAGTAGATGCTATTTTCACTTGTACTGTTTTAATTTGCACATGGCTTGCATACTCTCTCTCTCTTTCTCTGTTTGTTTTTTATAATGTTCTAATGTCAAAAACAGCACTTTTGCTCTTGTCTTAAGTAAACATAATATACAGACAATAAAGGACCATTTGATTTTTCAGGGCTGTCCTTGTACCCCAATCCTAAAGAAAGAACAAGAAAAAAAATAAACCCACCTTTTACTTTTTTAATGTGCCAGCCTACACTAATACCAATGGCTAGTTATTCCATAAGCTAATTAACCTGTTACAAAAATAAAACTGTTTTAACTGGAGCTTAGTCTGTCTTTCTCAAATCTTAAACTAGTGTCTTCTTATGTTACTGTCTATTGATCTTTCAGATAATATTGTAAATGTTAATAAGATCACCCTCTTACCCCTTTTCTCAATAGAAAACAAGTTAAGGAATTTTAACCTATTTCCCTAACATAATCTCTTTATCCCTGGAAGCAGCCTAGTAGCCCTCCTCTTAACTTTTTTAAAAACTTACAACAGGTTCCAATATCTTGCCAACAACAGAAGTCAATCTAAATGGCCTAATTATCTGGCTCTGCCATAAATTCTTTAAAAAAACAAGTATAAAAAGATCTTATTGACAGTCTTCCAATCATAAGTGATTTCCCCAGCATCAAAAGACTTGTAAAATGGCAATTAAAGCATTCATTAATTTACTGCAAAGCTTCTTCAAGGTCTTATGATAATGCTCATTAGATATCAGTGTTTTACTCTGTAAACATTTACCAAAATTTTTAGGGCTGTTTTTCCAATAGAAATATAAAAAAAGTATTCTCACCTTTAATATAATTAACAGATCAGAAATCTTCTTATTCAGTAAAAAGGTGTAAATTGTTTTTTAAACTTCAATTATTTCCTTTTTTCCTTAATAACATTCTGTTAAGGTTAGAATTTTTTTGTATTGAAACTTTAATTCCTAATCTATCCAAATTACAACAAAATAATTTGAAACTGGAAAATGTCTAAATAACCTGAATTGCTCATCTTTAATAAATCAATTTTGTACAACTGCTTAAAAATATTATGTTAAAAACTATCAAGTGTCATGCTTTTCAAAATATAAATTACAAATTATTGGTAACAAAAAATATATTTTTACTAATTTTGAATTGTGTTTGCAAAAATATATATATATATATATATATACTGTGTTAATCTTTTTTTAACATTTCCTTTATTTTCTTAGCTTGATCAACATCTTGGTAACTTCTAGAATTTTTCAAAATCTACAGTTAGTTAACCAGGCAGGTATAACTGCTAGTTCCTGCAGAAGGCTATTGGGCCTGCAGCCTTTTTTTGGAATTGTCTGACAGTTCTACAACAACGTACTCGTACTTGATCTTCAATAATGTTCACCATCCATGAGAAAAAGGATTTTATTGAAATTTTAATTGAAAAAATGAGCTATAGTCACAGCATTACATCACAGAGTAGATTTTACTGAAGTATTTCTTTGTAGACACAATTATCAATGAAAGTGCCATGCTTTTCTGTTGCAACACTCGTGAGATTTTCACTAAAGAAAAAACAAATAATTTTTTTAGTTTATTTTTATTGTTTTATATTTGAGACTTGCTCTTTTTTTGTAGTTTTTATTGATTAAACCTGAAATATATCATTTTTGTGGAAATTTCAATTGTTTTATTTATTGCTCAGCTATATAGATACTGCCTAGTTATAAAAATATTACCCATTTATGATTGGTGATGATTGGTGTGGTAGTTTCCGAGATCCAAGGTTTGGATGTATACGTTGCAAGCTCTATTACAATAAGATTTTTTGCATATAGGACTACAAGACAGAATATGCCATCTTGGTACTATGAGAAAGAAGATCTTCGTAAAACTCCCTCTGTTTTAGATGGAATTAATTTGGAAACAGAGCAACGGTACAGGAGGGAAGGAGCTCGATTTATCATCAACGTGGGAACTAAAATGGGACTGTATCTTTATTTTACTTGTCTCTAGAAACGTTCAAGTTTTCAGTTTGTCTGTTGTAAAGGGAGAGTTTGTAAAGTAAAATTAATTACTGACATGATAGTTACTAGCCTTATAGAAACAGAAGTTTTGTTAAAATATGAACAGGAAAAGTTATTTGTTTCCAGTGACTGTGAATGACTAAATGATAGAAATGTATGACCAAAAATATTCATGGAAAAAGCTGATTGTTTTCTCAAAGTCACAAATTCTTGTAATTTTAAAACATTTTTAAGATTAACTCAGAATTGAGAGATATAAAAACATAATCTTTGTTCAGTTCTGTGTTATTTTCTTTCTAATTATAGCTAATGACATAGCTTGGATTAATTTATTTTTGAGTGTGTCTTTCCTAAATAACTACTTAGACGATATGATACTATGGCAACTGGAGTGGTATACTTCCATCGTTTCTACATGTTTCACTCATTCAAGACTTTTCCAAGATATGTAAGTAATGTTACTTTATTATTTAAAATGTTTTATTTCTGACTACATGGGTTAAATATTCATTTTTAGATTATTGAATTATTAAAAATGCCTTGAAAAACCATCAAACTGAAATGCAGGAAGTTAGAGATTAGGAATGTTGTTTTTTTCTCTTTGTGTACTTTTGTACTAAGATTTTATATTCACAAAGTGTAAAGAACTTGCATAAAAATCGATAATTGCCAAAGTATACAAACAATAGTTCAGTTCATTAGAATATAAATATATGTTAATAAATACTATATATATATATAAAAATATATTTTTCAGTGGGTGACAGAAAATTAATTTTCCCCCATTTTATAAATATCAGTCCATGTCTAACTTGTCTACCCTAACAAACCTAATTGAGCTGGTAAAACAAAACCATGAAAAAATCCAGTTGTTCTTCGTTACTAATTAAGCTTACCTGTTTAAAAATTGACAAATAGAAGAGTAGTACTTCTGCAAAGGAATAAGTCTGCACCAAGGTAACTAAAGCCTGTACCTGTTACTTGTAGCATTGTAGACTTTAATCATTTCTACTTTAAAACAAATATACTTTAATTTATAAATTCTGCTTGTCTTGAGGAAAAAGAAAGTTGAGAAGTCATATGGGGGAGCACTGTTTATCTGTACTGGATAATCTAGATACATAATTCTGAATTCACACAATACAAATAGTTTTTGTGCAGTAGATGCTCTGAAACTTTATAATAATTGAGTTGTCAAAAATTGTAAAACTTTTATCAAGGCAGCTCACAGTATTCTAACAAAACAGAAGTCCTACAGTTTGGAAAGGATTCTAGCTATTACATTTAATATACTTTAAAACAAAAATGAGTTTATAATTTTTGGTATTCAATTCACTTGAATACTGATGTGATGTCAATTTTTTCTTCACATTGGTGTACCTGTTACACAGCTCCATAAAGATGTACATAATACAAGGCACAAGTGAAACACTACTTTTTGAAGATTTAAATTTAGATATCTTTAATATTTATATTGATGGTAAATAAAATAAAATAAAGTGAGTAATTTACTTTGTAAATTCATATACCTTAAAAGTTAGTCTTAACATTATTTTGTCATCTGGTTTATGTATCTGTATATAGGTCAGATTATAAGTTGTTACCTTATACATGTAATTGAAATATATATACACATATAAGCAAAGTGCATTGCATAATTGTGCAATTTATTGTCTTTCTGTATTATCAGGTTACTGCATGTTGTTGTTTATTTCTTGCTGGTAAAGTCGAGGAAACTCCCAAGAAATGTAAAGATATTATTAAGACAGCTCGCAGCCTTTTAACAGAACAACAATTCCTACAGTTTGGAGAGGACCCAAAGGTATTGCAACTAGCAACATGACTTACATTGCTGATCAATAGTTATTTATTTTTGTTTGAATTAACAGTGTGAAAAACTATTTCCTGAACTAATTGAAATGTTCACATTCTTAGGACATTATGAACTGATCACCTCACATTATTGTATAAGATAAAGATATATATAAAACCCATTATAATGTTTTTAACTTTCTCATAAGAATATAAAAAAAGATGTGGACCTGTAGAACTAAGCATTTCATATATTAAAACCATCAGAACAAAAATTGAGGATGGCTGTTTTATATCAAAATCATATTGTTTTGGTTTAAAAAATAAAAAGGACAGTTAGCAAACCAGTAGACAAATTAGTATTGTTTTTATTAGATAAATATCTAACATAATTACATATTTTTAGGAAGAAGTAATGACATTGGAAAGGATTCTTCTTCAGACTATCAAGTTTGATCTACAAGTTGACCATCCTTATGGACATCTTTTGAAATATGCAAAATCATTAAAAGGTAAGCTTTTTATAAGTGATATCATCTGATTCTTCAGTTTGCTCTTAAAATCAGTTCAGTAACATGGGAATAACTAATTCATGTGGCATAAGTAATGAAATTGACATATGTAAAAAACCTTGAATCATAACTCATAGCATTTAAAAGTTTTAAAGAATCTAGTCAAAATAAGTTAATCTCTCACAGCTATAAATTGTAAAATTAAGCAATTAGAAATGTGTTAGCTATAAAGATTTATAGTTAATTTTGAATTATTTTAGCGAAGCTAGCAAATGTAATAATTTAATGTTAATTTTCAAGCCTCACCACATTGTTTACAGCCATAAGTTTGTCATGTCCTAAAGCACACCACTCCTTCCTATTAGTGTTTCATAATTCACCTAGTGTATAAGAATGATAGTTTTCCAGAGCCTGGTTCAACAGTACAATCACAGATATCTGTAGACATTGCATCCATCAACTTGACCACTATGTCTTAATATGGGATAGCACAAATATCCATTTCATTCTCTAGCTGCTTGAGGTATGTAATGCTTGAAACAATATTTCATGGAAACAACTTGTCTACACATGATGTGTTTTGCTTTTTTAGACAGATCCTTCTTGATTATATTGCTTACTGTAATCTGAGGCATGTAGATGGTTGTTGTTACTGACTTTTGTGTTCATAGAATCTCACCTGTTAAAAGACTTCACACTTTGATTACCATGGCTGGGGTGCAACTTGTTGCAGGCCTCTTTCTTGATGGCCCTGGGTCCCCAAGTTGATTTATAGTTCACTGTTTTCCAAAGCCATTAAGTACAAGGAATATCCCCATCATGGAAGCTTTAAATGCCATATCTGAACATATCTTTATGATCTGAGTGTATAGATATTTTGCTTCAGAAAAGGCTCTTATATACCCTTCCCAAAAGTGGCTGCAAAATGCCAAACAATATCAAAATTTAGTTTTGATATGTTCTGTTCCCACAGCTTTATATCAGCTTACTGATTTTTATATTCAAAATCAGTTTAATATAATGTACTCAATCTTCTGTGTATTTAAGTTTTTTAGTTTTAAGAATTATTTTGTTTGAAGATGCATAAATTATTTTATTAATTTCTTTGTGAGAAAGCTGATGTAATTATACGAGTTTTTGAAATATTAAGTTTGTAAAATCTTGTTCCAGGTGATAAACAAAAATTACAGAAAATGGTTCAGATGGCCTGGACATTCATTAATGATAGGTATGTTTTGATGCATTCTTTTTAAATACCAAAAAATATTTTACCCTCAAGGAAAGACTGGCTTAATGGTTCACCAGCTCTTCTGAGTAATGAATAAAGTTAATTCAATTACAATAAATAAATAGTATTACTAATAAACAATTTGATGTTAAAAGTTAATGAAAAACTTGATGTTAATAAAAACCATAAACCTATTTTGTTGTGTAATGACTTAAATTGATCAAAATTACAGTTTGCCAACTTAATGTAATTCTTACAAAAACAACTGTCGTTCAAGCATTTGATTATATAAATGGTATCTCAACCACTGCTAAGTCTGTCATATCCCAGGTGGCCTGATAAGCCCTGGTATTGAACAACATTGTAATATCAGCATTGGATATAGCAGATATAATGTAATTGACACATTATTACGATCTTCTTTACTTCTGCTCATAAGTTCATATAATTCCTTAGGCTGTTAAAAAGTGATTTAGAAAGACAGATGTTTTACTAGCCTAATTCTTATGTTTTAGGATTATTTATAGAGAACTGACATTTTTATGCAAGGATAATTTATTTTGTGTGTGTTGTGCATAAAGATTAACTTTTTGATATCTCTTATCTAGTAAGAAATAGCTTGAACTTGTAAACTACCCCATGTTATGTAAACACACAGCTTTATTAATACATCCAGCTACACTGATACTTTGAGCTGTGTTGATACATGTATCTCCAGGGCTTGAAGTTAAGGTTCAGCAATCCAAAGTTACTTGTAGCTTTGAGGCACCCTCTGTAACTGGGATGTGCTGAAATTACTTGCAACTGCTTGGAAGCTAATTTATGAAACTATTATGCGAAATTTCAGTGAAGGAAATGCAATTAAAATTAAGTTAACCCTTTCCAGATGGGTCAAAGGCCATGCCATTGCATGTATTGACTCGCATTCAAAATTTTACTGAACTACTATTTTATGAATTTATGTTATGAAGTTTGGTATCAAACTGTAGATTATAATTCAAATTTTCATATTATTCATTATTTAATTTCTTGATTTAAAAATATTAAAAAACACACACCTAAGCTTCGATGTTTGTGTGTCACGTGGTGTGGTGAATACAGCACTGGTTCAAATTAGATGTTTGTGATGTCAAAATACAAAGTCTATAGTTTTGTACAAATTAGGAACTCAAATTACTGATATTTATAAGCTAGAATATAAAATAAAAACCTTCTATCTTTTCTATTTGCTGAGATATTGCTCATGTACTGAATCAAACACAGTGGCCCCTATCACTTCTTTCCATTTTTGGAAACAGTCCCTTATATACACTTACTTTTATATATGATGTGAATAACCAGTCAAAAGCTCAGAATGTCCCCCTAGTGGCTTTCTCAGCCATTTACAGATATAACGGCATCATCTCTTTCTTTCGAGACAAACCTTCGTGCTGGTAAGTAAAATTTCATATTTTTAGACCCAAATACAGCTTAGTTACTAAACTTCATAAATTATAATGGAATTCTATGGTATCAATATAGTAATTTGTGATTTTTTTGGTTATTCAAATGTAATATAAAACTTAAAAAAAAATATTTCATTTCACATCTTCCATGTGCAAATTTTCATAAGGCTCAGCATTCTATGACAAGCGGTAACTGAGTACTAAGGTCATAACTAGAAGAGATAATTGTTTGCTTTACTTCTTTATTTACTCTTCTGTGTTTAAGAAAAATAAGTTTAAAAACTTGTTTGTAAATAGTAATGAGCTATATACATATATAATGTATAATAATTGAAATGTGACTGTATTTTACAAAATATTAGTCTACTAAAACACAGCCAAGACAGATCATTTTGTAAAGACTAATGGTCAGTTTTAAATTATTGAATGCAGTAACATGAGTGCATGTGCAACACATCATTGTAATTTCTGTATTGTTAGCCATGCATGGCTGAAAGGTCAATATAATAAAAATAATAAATATATATAAATATATAATGTTATGAGATTTAATCTATTTAGTCTAAACATTTATGTTTTTGTTTTATAATTTGTTTTCATTCTAGAATGAAA